TATATAAGCTTTATTTTTATTCACACTTTTCCATTTTTAAATTGCTTAGCTAAAATTTAATATAATTATTGATGTAAAATTAACTAAAGCGATATTGTAATTAAGAGATGACTGCACTAGACCAGGAGGCAAATTTTTAGTTTTGATATGATGTTAATGAATTCGCCAACTGTTATGAGAAAAAAGGGTAAATTATTTACTTGCAGTCATCTCAGTAATTTAAAAAAAATCGAAACACATATTAATGTTTATCCTTCAACTTGACAACATACAGTAAATTGCAAAAATTTCAAAATTTGCAAATGATTTCTTGATTTAAAATGTTTAATTGTAATTATCAAGAAAGTAGGTAAGTTTGAGACCGCATTTTTTATTGATCAGAATTGTTTAAACATCATTTTATAACTGCTTCTTAAAGCTTTTGGATTTTTAAATCTCTGTTCGGGTTAGAAATGCGTGTTTTTTCCTCCAAAAAAGCCATCGTTACGTATTTGATTTCAATTAGAATTCTACCTTGATATGCTTTTATTTTTTATAATTCAGTTATTTTTCCTGCGCAGAATATATGTAAATCTAAATTGATATGGCTAAGTTAATACATAGAATTCGCCTTTTCAACATTTCTTCTTTTAGTGCTAGTTAAGTGACGTGGTGAAAAATTAAAAAATGTACATGCCTTTTTCAATGACCTTTGTGGACTTTTTACTCATATTTCAGACTTTAGTTAAATTAGATAAGCACAGAATTTCTTTAAAACTGGTTTCTTTAAAATTGGCTAATTACGAAATTGTATTGCAAAACTTATGAACAAAAATAAAGTTTTCTTTGACTATTTTCTATTAATTAATTAGCAGATATTTTTTCTTTGAAGACATTAAAAACGAACACATGCTTACAGTAAAAAATAAATTTTTTACGACGCATTATTTGACTTTTTATACTATAAATAAACTCGTTAATATTTCAATGCTTCATTAAAAAAAATCTAATGTATAAGGGATGAGATAAATGCCAAGTTGTCAATAAAAAAAAATCTCCCTAGCAATTTCTAATAGCTCTTATATTTACTCTTATCTCAAATCCGAATTACACCTCAGCTAATTGCGTGCACTGTGCAAATAAAATCTTTTAAACAGCTTAGTGACAGGCTGTTTTTTATGAGACCCAAAATCTTATCGCCTTTCAAATCTTTGTTATTTTATGCAATGAGCTCCGCATTCCTCTTTGCTGTAATTGATGCAGTGACTATTCATAGATAGTAATTAACTTGTTCTTATCTTTCTCTGGGTGGCAACATCGGAAGGAAATTCAGGGGCATTCTTTTTGCCTTTCCTCTCCTCCATTATGCTCATATCTTTTAGGTCCCACAATTACGTCGACATAAGGGGAAAGTTGTAATTAAAACAAATAACCTTTTTTTTCGTCATTGTGTTTTTACTCTCATTCGTATACCAGGGCTCTTGTTTGCCCAAGGGCTCAACAGAAAAGACAAATGTGTTTTTTCACCCATTTAGCTCTTGAACAAGAGTGATTATTTCTCGTTTGCAGATTAGGCTTAGTATAAGGTCATAAAAACTAACTTGAAAGTTCAATTTAAAAGTTACAGTTTTAGTCTTTTAGCTTTTGGCAGAGGCGAAATGAAGATTTCGCGCATTGTTTAAAAAGTGTGACAGTTCAGTTATTTTTCATTCTTGGTTCATTTTATAAGGCTTATTTTATTTTTGATTAAAGTGTTCTAAGATTCGTAAAACAAAAATATAAAATATGTTTTCCGGGTATATTCATTTCATGACCAATCAAATTAGATAATTGGATTTATATGAAAAACAATTTTGATTTTGTTTTTGTGTACTTGACCCAATTTCACCCAATTTGGTTAAGTTTACAAGATAAAAGTATATTTTTACCAGTTTTGTTCGAGGGAGAGTCTAATTATATACATCTTTAGATTAAGTTAAACTCTCGGTTATCAAATCTAATAGAAGATTCGTTTTAAAAAATACTTTTTAAAATGGTTGATTTACGTGTTTCTGAAGTAAGTTCGAATAAAATAGTGTTTTACCATTATTTTAAAGACACTTCCTCGTAGAATTTTAGAGGGTGTGTAATTAATTGTGGGTTCTTCATAATTGGGTATATGTAAATAATAATTCAACTCAAGCACTATGAACTAAAAGGTTTATTTTTATAATACCTTTATTTATATCAATCAAACTATTGGTTTTGCTAAAGAGAAATTTACTAAAGTTTTATTTAAATAAAACACCCCGATTTAAAGGAATTGGCAAAATTTGGTAGCATGTTTGATGAACGTTTAGATATACGGGTTTAAAAGGTAGGAAAAGGGTACACTACCCCAAACGGCCCTCATGACCTTGTTGTTTTTTACTTTTTTATTTTCTCTTTTTGCTTTACTTTATTAAATCAAGCAGAGTTTAAGTATGTTTTCCAGTTGTTTTAAGTGCAAGTCTCATAACTTTTCCTGGAGCAGTATGATGGGTCACTAAATTGTTTATACTCTAAGAAATTTAAAATGGAATGTTTTACTAAATTTTGTTTTTCATTGAAAAATATTGTACTTAAATGTGTGAAAGAACAAATGTTTGATTTTCACCTACGTTCATTATATATGCATATTTTTTTAAAGTTATAACTACTTTGAAATAAGACAATTAATCGGATTATTTTTTTTCAAAATAAAATTATCACTTTTTAATGTGAGATCTTCAACTTAATAGTCTAGTAATTATGACAACGAAAAAAAGGATATATCTTTGAAAAAATTAGTACCCAAGCTATTTTTGACAATAATTTTTTTGTTGTAGTTTTATAAATAATGCCTGAAAATTCTTCTATCCTCATCTATATTCTTCTATCCTCACCTGTATTCTTATTAGGGGAATGAGGGCAATTAGAGGGGGTGTATGTTCTTTTCTAGGCAAGTGAGGAATTGTTTCCAACGCATTTTGGAAGCGGCGGAAAGGAATGAGATCAATCCCGAGGCAATGGGACTAATAGTTTAGAAGTTATAAGGGTTTGAAATACGAAAAATGAAAAATTATACTTGTACTGAATTATCGTCTTATATTGCTATATAAACTACTGAGACACATTTCCACTAGAACTTTTAACACCAAATGCAATGAAACTGTATACAAGTCTATGGAGTATAAAGTTCAAAAGTTGCAACGTATTTTATGTATAAAAAGAAATATTTTTGACATAATTTTGTGCATTTTATACTTTGCTATCTAAAGGCTATCCAAACATGTATAGTAAAGTATGTGGTCATGTAGACAACATGCCCACAACTCTGAACATGTAGAGTTAACCGATGAAATATTTCTTACTGATATAATCAATATAAAAAGATACAGTAAAGTAGATAAAAATTTAGGGTTGATAGGTTTAATAGCTTTGAAGTAATAAGAGTTTTTTTCAGATTCGATTCTAATATAGTAAATTTTATACTAAATAATTCCAGTTCAATTTGTGAAAAAATGAAGCGTTTTCATTCGTGTTTGGTCTTATTCAATTGAGTAAGACCAAACACGGGAGAAGTACTCGGGAAAAGTACATGGGGAACAACAACTTTACTTGTCTGTATAGCTATGTAACTTGCGTAAATTTTGCTTTTGTTTATAGAACATTTATAATTTCTAAATCATTTGCCAGTTTCTCGGGATTGGTCTCATTCAAATTCATCACTATAAAATGCGTCGAAAAATATACTTTACATGTTTAGATAATTCCTGTAAATCAATGTGAAGTATATACATAAGTATGTGTGTAATGAAGTAGTTTTTATATTTAAAAACTTTTGCCAGCTTTGAACTATTTTTTTTCTTATGGATTTATGTATAGTTTATTTGTTTTAGAGTAAAAATATAGAAAATTTTGATAATTTATATACTTTGGCATAAAAGGTAGAAAAGAATACCTCACTTGCTTTAAAACCACTGTCAGGTGCATAAATAAGTGCAGGTACAAATTTATACTTCTTGTGCATAAAATCCTTACAACTTCTGAACTATTAGTTCGATTGTATCGGGATAGGTCTCATTCATTTTCGCGGGTAAAAATACAAGAAAAAATATGCATCAATAGTCTGTGTTGAGGAAATTTAATCCCCCCCTAAAAAGGGGGGGAATCGTACAGAAGAGAGTAAGTCGGTATTATTTGTTCAGGTATTATTCATGATAAAATAAAAAATTTTTCTATGGAAATAAAATTAGATGTTAATTTTTCCAAGGAAAAAATAAAAATTTACTGGGCTATGAACTATTATAAAACAAGTGTAACAAGCAATAAATTAATTACTTGCGACGATTAAAATTATATTGTGTTGTTCGGGATGTATTGTGTTGTTCGGGATGTTTTAAAATGTTTCGGTCATTCAATTTACGCTCATTCAGTCATTTAATTAATCTTGTACACAATATTAGTAATACCATTTTATAATAATGAGTCTGATAAAACAATGGATGAGTTTTGTAAATGTATCTCGCTCAAATGGTTTTAACGAATACATTTTTCTGACATTTAGGTTAAGCAATTTAGCTTAATTTCATTTTTTTAGAAATAAATCACTCAAATTTTGTATTTGTTTATGCAGGTGTTGCAGCAAGGGGAACGGCATGTAGTTGCAGCGTGAACCACTTCGCTTGTACCACACCCTTATATGGCAATTGCACGTGCATTCCTGTTAGATGGAGATGTGACTCTGACGATGATTGTGGGGACGGTAGTGACGAAATTGACTGTGGTAAGTCAAAATCATGTAACATGTGATTAGCTTACAGTGTTTTTGAACAGTCGTATTATAACGCATAAAAGTGAAATGTTTGTACCGAATAGTTTATAAGGTAATATATATATATATATATATATATATATATATATATATATATATATATATATATATATATATATATATATATATATATATATATATATATATATATATATATATATATATATNATACAAATTCGCGCACCATATATATATGTCCATCCGACAAAGAGTTATGAAATTTGGTATACTGATAGTTCAAAGCTCAGGAAGGTTACTGTTTACATTAGATCATTCTATTCCAAGCCATTCGAAAAGAGTTTAAGCGTTAGCTATTGTTTTAAATGAAACTAAAGATGATTCCTTTTATGAAATATTTATAGCTCTCTTTGATCAAAATACAGATTATTGCACATACTTTAATATCTAATTATTTGTTATCCTCTATGTCAGATAAATTCACTGAGCAACGTTAACGTGGTTGCATGCGAGGACTACATCACCAAATTAGTATTCCTAAAGTTATCTGTATCCAAGTGCTTATTTTGTTTAGATTAATATTTTTAAAAATGCGTTTTAACAAATGTAAATAATTTAAAATCAGTAGTAATTAAAATGAAGAAAAAATGAATTGAAAAGCAAAATTAAACATAAGCAGGATCTTGCCAAGTAATGCTGAATATAGTTTATCTTTAATCTGATGGGAGGAAATTAAAACAAAAAAACTTGGTATGTTTAATTTAATAACGTAAGGCTACCGAGAAGGGTTAAAAATAAAATTAAAAGTTAAATTATTCTTGTTTTGTGTCGGTATATGCTTCTTAGTTTTGTGCGTGATTTCGTAGTGTCGCTCAGCACTGCTTTATTGGTTATTTTCCTCTTTAATAGGGGTTTTTGCAAGAATAACGGGGTTTTTTATTCACCCCTTTTTTTGTGAGATTACAATAAATAACACCGTTATTCTTACGGGGAGCCAGAGTCCAAATCGGCAATTTTTAAAAAAGTTTATAGCAACTTTAAAAATATTCAAGTTATTTGTCCAGATAATTCTTCACAGTTGAGTCGCGATGGCTCAGGGAATAGAGCTTTCGCCTTCCAATGAGGTGAACCGGATTCGAATCCCTGTCGATACGAATTCCGCATCCGGCTTGCACCGACCACAGTGCTGACGTGAAAACTTTGATTGGTTTTCAGTGAAAAGAGAGATAAAATTTATGCTTAAAACTACAAAAAGAAAGTTTTGAAGAAAGTTCTTAAAAAATTCTTTGAGTTATTAGATTAGATATTATTGCTGTTAGCTTGAAGGTGCTCGCTCGTATACATCAAAAATTCTATAACATTGGTTTAGAGACATACAGGCTGACTTTCCGTAAAAACTGAATGGCTCTCAAGTTCTCCGGATCTTAATCCATTCAATCATTTTGCGTGAAGGTACATGCATTGAGTTGGCTGAATAATGTTAAATACACATATTTGAACCGATTTATTGAGCGAGTAAGGGAAGGAGATTTTAATGATAATGTGCATACTATTTGCAATAGTTGTGGGTAAAAAATTATAGCTTTAGGAATATTAAAAATATGGAATTATTTTCCCGAGCTTTAAATAAATGATCGAAAGTTTGATTTATACAAGAAAATATGTATAGAAAAAATTAAAAGCCTAAATGCAAAAAAAAAAAAAAATTCTTAAAAAATTCAATTAGCTAAACTTAATTAACCTTTTTTTAGTTTTTTTCAAAATTATTGTATCAAAAACGAAAAATGTAATTTTTAGCATTTTTGCTTATTGTAAATTCCCAAGATTTATGTGCTATATTACTTTAAAAATGGTTTGAATCGAATTTCTTACCTTCGTATGACTTATAAGAATCGAATTTCTTAGCTTCTTATGACTTATAAGAATCGAATTTCTTACCTTCTTATGACTTATAAGAATCGAATTTCTTACCGTCTTATGACTTCTTATTATAAATTATATTCCAATAAGGGTAAAAAAGAATTTATTTCTAAGCAGACAATTACTTTGTGCACGCAAACAAGTGTAAAAAATATTCTTAAAATGTAGTATATTAGGCACTGAATTTTAGAGATTATTCGGATAACATGTAGAATCAAAACTTGCAAAATTCCTGCTTCAGTGATAAATAAGAGAAACGTGATTGTAAGGCTTGTTAACTAGGATTTTCTTGTTCATAATTAAAAAATTGAAGCTAATAAAAGTTTAAACACTGCAATGAAACCGAGAAAAAATTATATAATTGAAATATTGTAACATTTAACTCATTTTACAGTGGTACAATAAATAGCTTTGAGTCATGAACGATTACTAATTTATAAATAGCTAATGATATATTAAAATGAAGTTGGATAGATATACAGCAGTCAAAAATTAATTCTTTCATCACGTGTATTTTTTACAAAACAAAATAATGTTTTTACAGTAGAAAAAAAATAAAAAACGCAGGTGTTAATTTTTATTAGAATCGCTCACAAGGTCATTTCAAACGAAATTAATTTAATAAAAATGAAAACAATTAAAGTACTTGAAATAAAATTACTACATTCTTTTACGAACTAGAAATAATTAATTTTTATAAAATTGATATCTTAAGAATGCTTCTTACGAAATTAATTTAGATTTTAAATTTAGTTTGATGTTTATGGAATTAGATTTAAAAGATACTTAATCAAGTGAATTTTAATAATTCTTGTTTCGCGCTTTCTAACAGCGTGGCATAGATACTTATTTAAGTATAGTAATGCAATTTTATATATTTTTTGTATGCATTTGGAATGTTCCAGAGAAGTGAAATTTAATTTCACGTTTTGCATATTTAACCATATTTTGGAAAGTTTTAAAAGTGATCGAAACATTTAAATTCGCTTATTCAAAGATATTTTTATGTGAAAATTATTTTAATAATTTATTTTATTTTTTATTGTTTTATTTAATAAGGGTGGTAAAATATTAAGTTGCGAAGTATACAAATTCGCGCACCATTGAAAGCAATACATTTTTAAATGTCAAAATGCAAAATTCGAACGAAATTGGTCGAATAGTTCATGAAAAACAGAATTTTTCAATTTTTTTTAAAAAATTTTATTACTCGGAAACTATTCAAACAATTCAAAAATCTTAAATTAAAGTAACACTTTTTATTTTCAAGAATATTTTTTTCAAGGACATGATTGGAACTTGGGGACGTATTTATAGTAGAAATAGTAATATTAGATAACTTATACGTTAATTACTTCATAACAGACAAAATAATACGATTTCAGAGCCTAAAACGAAAAACTATCTGATCAACTGTAGTTCCACTGGCCATTGTCACGTGTGTTACTTTTCTTACAAGATGGAGACTGTCAAACTTTTTTTTCTTCAATTTCAGAAATATTTATATTAGTCAGCATTTGATTTATACACCCGACACACGAGAAGTTTTCCTAAAGCGTAATCAAAAATAGGAGTTTGGCTTTTGCATTGAGAGGATATTTATTCTCTACATGTGATACAATCTTAATCTTTATAACTTTAAAAAAAAATGTGCTTTTCAATCCTAAAAGACAGAAATCACTTCAATTATACTGGTTTCAAGGAGAAGTAAAATCCCTTCAATTATATTTTATTTTATAACCGTTGTTGAACAGCTGACCCAATTTTATGGGTTTACAACTACTACTGTTCAACTCTGTAGCCATGTAATTTTGAACCCAACCCAGAAGACAAAGGAACTCCTGGATCGAGCATTGGGAGAAATTTGCCTTCGATGAGGACTTTTTGATTTAACTAACCTGCATTTGCATTACACGGAGAGGAAGACCACGACAATACACGGTTAGCTTGATGGCAAGAGGACTTCAACCCATGATCCGTCTGCCATTGAGGATATTTCACGTCAGCAGTGTGGTCGGTGTAAGTCGGATGCGGAATTCGTATCAACTGGGATTCGAACCCGGTTCGCCGTATTGGAAGGTGAACGCTCAATCCCCTGAGCCTTCGCGGCTCATTTCAATTATACTGATTTTAAGGCAAAGTAATGTAACCTCTTACTATTCTTACATATTAACTATTCATTACTATTAATTTTTCTTAGTTAAGAAATCGCCCTATATACATGATAAACATGTTGACACATTTTGGTAGTCAAAGATATTTTACTCTTTACGTAAACAGACTCGAATGAAGTTATTTTCCTTCCAGTTTTTGCTCATTACTGCACTATATAATATATAAATTTTCTTGTACCAGCGATTTATACAAACTTTCAACACTGCTACATTTGTATAGTGGAAAATTATTTAAAACGAAGTTTTTGTTCGTATAGGTTCAGAAAGATTTGTTGTTCATTGGGTAAATTTACAATGGCATCTTCCAATTCACTATTGAAAATTATATATAGAAATTTCCCAATTATGTTAGATCAAATCATATAGAACCAATGAATCAATGTTTAAATTTAATTGGTAATAAAAGTAAAATATAAAATTAAAATTTAATTTTAAAAATATCTTAAATAGTTTAATTAGCCGAAAAAGTATTACATTCGTTTTCTAAAGTAACAGTGAAAAAAAACACATTCAAAAGAAATTATTAGTTTCCTTAGAAAGATTTTTACAGTTTTGATTAAAAATTCATGAGCTTGATTCATTTGTATAAAAAGTATTAAAAGCTGTAAAAGTATTACATTTATAGCTGTCTTTATCACAGCGCATGGAAAAATTGAAAGGAAAAATTAAATTTTCTTTAATTTCTTACCCAAAAATATTACCTTCATTATAGTTTAATTAGCTCAAATGAAAAGAGATATATAATTTTGTTATACTAACGAGATTGTTCAACTCAGCGTTTAATATAAATCATATCTACCTGTATTCATGATGCTAATTAAGACAGGTTTTTATAATTTATAATTCAAACTCAATCTAAATTAATTTGTAAAAAATTAATGGACCAGGTTTAATTGAAAT